GAAAAGTTTAACCCTTACTGTACTGGGGGGGGGGGCCTGGGAGGCCCCCCCCCTCGACATTTTCGGAGATTGCGCCGCAACCGCTTGGAATTTTGAATTGTCGTTTCATGACTATTTTCCCTCAAGTCTTACGCACATTTTGATACCATCTTCGTCGAAATCGGATATACCTGTAAGGAGTTACATAACAATTAGTATGCGCATGTCATCAAAAAAAAAAAAAAAAAAAGTGAAAATCGCATCAAAATTTGCATAAATTATCATTATTAATTACATTAAAATAACTTTTTTGTGTTAGAAAAGAAGTTTCATATGAATAATGAGTTTCAACAATCAAAAAGTGGAGTTTGACACGTTTTCGGTAAAATGCATAAAATTAGCGCATTTTGCATAATTAATTAGGCTAACGACAAAAATTTGCATATTCGGAAAAAACTAATTATACCATCTTGTTCCTTACGTAAATATCTACAAACATGCAAATTTTCGTGTTCATCGGACAATCGACGGCCGAGATCATAGGGGGGGGCCTCCCAGGCCCCCCCCCCCCAGTCAGTGGGTGCTCAAAATAGCCCAGTACAGTAAGGGTTAAAAAAAGAAGACATACAGAGATCCAAGATTTACCCCAAATGAACAAATGCTATTAATTTTAAGCTTTTTTTTACACACACTGATGCACCCTCAACCATCCCACATACAGACGGACAAATATTTAAGTAAAAATTACAAGGACGTAATTTAGGAATAGATTCCAAAACAGGTTATGAAGGGCAAGAACCACTTAATGACTAAAATACTTGTCACACTAAAAGATGAAATTTACATTGTGAATATCAGCAACCTTTGATAAGAGACAGTTCCAATGTGAATATTTCAAGCAATTATTTTGGGGTTGAACACTGAAGAGCATACTTTGCGTATTAGATATATAGCTATAGAGCTTACATCACAGAAAAGGTATTCATAGTCAGATCTAAAAAAAAATTGAGACTATCCATATTTGCTCTTGTGGAAAGATTAGACTATAAAAGATGAATGAGGCATGAAATATCAAGAAAAAAGAGGCATGCTCTCACATACCATGGAATGCGCTATATAAATGTAACTTATTGTTATCATGATTATGAAGTAATTATATATCTATGCATACCAAGGAAGCACAACGGAAGTATGGTAGTGGTACTGTGAACTCTCTTCTAAAACTTAAAGAGAAACACCCTGAAGAGACCAAACAAGGGAGCAATATTATAAGCTGGGTGCAACAGTGCACCTCTGGGTATAATAGGTAAGAGTTGAAAGCTGAATGGTTCATTTCTGCACCCTGAGAGACACTGTTATTATAAAAAATAAGGGTAGTAATTTGAACCTTTCAACCTTTTCAACATTTTATTATATCAGGTACTTACATGAATCAAGCCCGTTATTCCACATTATGACATATCGGTACAAATCTTTCTACTTGAAGGTCACGTCCTGTTACAGTCTAAAGGCATTTATGTTTAAAGTCAAAAGTTATTAAATGCAACCAAAAAAAATAAGAAAACTTGTACGAATTCCATCTCTTTTCGACCAACAATCATGTTCCAATATGAACAGTAAAGGGATCCTTTATGTGTTTCTTCCTAATCTCTACATGTATTTGATTATTTTTATATTATGAGATTTCTGATAACATCACTTAAATCATCTCTTTTTACTTACTGCATGATGCCTCATCACTACCGTCTCTGCAGTCTGGTATCACATCACATACAGCAGATCCATTGACTGCCCATGGGCCTGTCTTGCATTGGAAAGGATCTGTATTTTACAACAAAAGAAAAAAAAAGTATAGACTAAGATAGTATGCCTTAAAAGTCCAAATGTGACCAGGCAACAAAAACATCCTAAAAGAGGAGATTCTCAGCTTCAAATGATATATAAATCATCCCAATATGATGTTCCTAACCCAGTGAAAAAAATGAGGTAACCATTCTAGTATAAATTGTTACTTGAGAAAACTAAAATCTGTAGTATATTCAAGCATGCCGACCCACACAGAAATGTGCAAGATGGCAAAAGGAGGATTATAACTCTCTATCATCAAATTGTCCTAAAACATAGCATACCAATTAAGTACACGCTGTTCTTTATTTAGACCAAGTATCAATGCAAGAACATTTTAAAGATATAGGAAATAAAAATAATACCAGTAGCCATGGTCATATGAAAACAATTATTACAACAACAAAAAAGATCAGACAAACATCGACAAGTCTACAAAAAACTGCTCAAAATACCACTTTTAGATTATTTGGTGCTTCCAGATTTTGAATTAATGTAGAAGGTATCGTGGTCGAGTGGATAAGTCGCCGGACTGTCGATCACAAGGTCAACGGTTTGAGTCCCGCCGCGGCACTAATGTCCTTTGGCAAGACATTGATCTACATTTGCCACACTCAGCCCAGGTGATGTAAATGGCTACCTGGCAGGAATTCATTCCTTGAAATGCTGGAGCGTTGTATACGGCAGCTAGGCGTTAGCAGGGGTAATAATAAATGCGCCTCGGAATAGAATTTCTAGATAGACGGTGCTATAGAATTGCCTATTATTATTATTATTATTAAGGTATACTCACAACATACTTGACAATCAAATTTGACCATCCCGACCTATTGCACCTCTATGAACCTCTAATTGAAAACCACACCATGCAACTCTTGGTTGGTTTTGTGGTGCATGGTAACTAACACATTTTCATTTGACCATGAAAAAATATGTGACAGACTTATTGCAGTACTTTTTCAACAGACTTAAAAAAAGAAAAGAATTACAATGAATTTTGAAGAGAATTCAAAGAGCTGGGGCCCCCAAATTATCTTGAAGGTGTTTACCAGTTGTTGAGTTGTTTATTAATGTCTCTTTACTGTTATTTCTTGTGTGCCCTCAGCGATGCTACATTTGCAATATCATTTGTCATGATGGTAAAAGCAAACAAATTATTCTGGAGGCAATTTATGTTCCTCTATTCTAATTTTGCAATACTGGGTTAAAGTGAGCCACATTTATATGTTCTGCATGTAAGCAAGATTGGTTTTTTAAACCAGTCATAACGAATATACATAATGTATCAATTATAATTATACATCAACTAGTTTTTTATGAATTCTTTTTTATTTTGTTGAAACTTCTTCAATTTTGTATGGAATCTTGTGTGTAACAAAGACAGTATAAACATTTGCTACATGTAAATGACTAAAGGTTAAAATTTGGCATGTATTTTTGAGAAATAGAATGCTAATATGGTATATATTAACTGTAACTAGCGGGCTTGGTACTTTGTGAAAATAAGCAAATTTATAAAAAAAAAAAATTTAACAGAAGGTCAACTAACTAATTTTAGAAGAAAAAAAATTTACACTTTTAACTTTACAATGTGCTAATTTGAATTCTTAAAACTAAAAGGGTATTGTAAATAGAAAGTATTAAATTTATATGTAGAATTTTTCATGTTTACCTGTGAGATAACCCAAAGATATCTCCATTTGGAAGTAGTAGTAGTTGTAGTATGAACTTGATGTAAATTCAATGAACATTTCTGATGCAGCTAGAATGCGCTCCCCCCTTGGAATTTGCTGGCTTCCACTGAAGACCTCAGCATCATTGTTGGGTACCAGACCGGCTCCAATCCGTAGAACATCACCATAAGAAAGATATCCGTAGTTGAGAGTGATAATGAATGCTACTTCCATGGAGTTAGTAAGAGCAGGAGCGCTTGAGTTGAAGAGCCACAAGGCACGTGTGTACGATCTGTAACCAGGACTGATTAGTACTCTTGTGTCTCCAAGATAAAGCGTGTGAACTGAAAGAATAAGAGACATCATTGTTTGATTATGCGGTCAATTTTAGACACAATATCCTGCTTCTTTAATTGATGGTGGTCATGAATCCTCTCCAAGAAATCAACACTTTGCAGAGGCTTACCTGTACAAATTTGACAGCATTTCAATTTCAAAGTATTAAATTGACAATTATGTTCTTTCAGTAATATTCATCCAGATGTATACACACTGAACAAGCTTGGGTAACAAGGATTCCTGGTAGAAGGAATTGACTCCCACAAAGCTGTTTGTTGTGTGTCAAATTAAGAAATCACCATTCTTTCATTTTCCTTTAAAAAAGTCATCTCAACGGTTATTCTAACACTCTATTGTATAGCCTATATTAGGCAATTGAAATTATATAGGTTAATGACTACCACAAAGCAGTTTGTTGTGTGGTAAAGAGATCATTCTTTACTACATAATGCGAGTAAAACCAAACTGTTTTGGGTGCTGCTATGAAGAGCAGTGGACTGAAAGGTTATTTTGATACTTCTTGTAAGTTTTTTTATGATTTGAAAGAGGCTTTAATACATGAATAATCACAACAAAAAGAAATCTTTACATTTCCATCATTGCAGAAGATACACTGACTTGTAAAACATTTTACCTTAGATCAAAATATACCTTAGGCATTCGCCTACACTCGGACTTTGCTATGAGGCAGTCACCCAAAGAAGATGCATGGGGAACACACAGCCCGCGCATTGAAAATTTGCAAGTTGCGTTCTAGTTCGTCAAGCGCGCTAGACCAACGCTATGCATTCAACGTCATTTGCTCTGTGTGTCGGGAATAAGTGTGCACGGAGCATGACACACTTTATAAAATAGCTCTAGTATTTTATGCATCCTGACTGGTCAAAATGCGTCACATGACATGCAACATTTTTTGTGCACTGCATGCGTGCAAAAAAAAGCCCAACAAAAAGTATCATTGCACGCTAGCAACACGCTATGCATGGGCGCACAATGATGCACTGACCTTATTTTCTAATTTTTCAATACGCAGGCCATACATCGTCTATGTGTGACCAGGCCATAAGAGACAAACCTGTATGTTGAATTATAACCGTCATAGATAATATTTCACAGACTATAAAAAACAAAAACAATATTCAAATAAAATGAACATAAAATTACCACAGCCGGTTTCATCACTGGAGTCCGGACAATCTACACTGAGATCACACAGAGAGGACTGGTTGACTGCATAAAATCCATCATTGCACACAAAAAGACCTAAACACCAGCAATAAATGTAGAAGGGAGTTATCAGTTCATTGGCTCTGCAAGATACATACACTGTACATGTCCCGAGTTTGATAGTAATCCATCAGTCAGTATTGACAATGCATTCAAAAGCTATTTTTGCATACATAATGTACCCTATGACCTTTCACCTCGTGACCCCAACATCTAATCAATTCATTGGCTCTGCCGTTGCCTTAGTTTGGCGGTAATTCATCAATCGGTTCTTGTGATAACGTGATCACAAGCTATTTTTGCATAATGAGCCCTGCAACCTTTGATCTCTTGACCCTAAAAGTGGCAAGTGGCAAGTGTAGACTAATGTCTTGCCAAAGGACATTACCGGTAGTGCCATGTCGGGGATCGAACCCACGACCCTTGAATTTCAAGTAAAGTGTTTAAAACTTTCGACTATGACACCTCTACTATAGGTTACAGATTGTTAAAAGAATTACCTTCAAGGGAACGGGGTGTAATCGCCAGGTTGAAATGTGAATAACTATAGGAGCTTGTGAAATCCACGTGCATCTCTGATGACTGAATGAGCCTTCTTGCCCTGTTAGACGGGTGGTCATCATTGGCAAATAGAAATTCTGAATCATTACTGGGGACAAATCCAGAGCCAATACGAAGTACGTTGCCATAGCTTAAATAAATGTCGCTAATGTACACAAAGAAGGCAATGTTACCGGCATCGCTTTGTGAAGAATTGATATCGAATAACCATGTCCTGTTGTAAGGTCTACTATGTGATCCATAACTGTAAAGAAAGTGGGTTTCTCCAACAGTAAGCGAGTATTCTGAAAATAAGTTAGGAGAGTAGAAAAAAATCACATCAATATATAAAACTACATCTAAATTTGTTGTTTAAAATTTTATTATATGCTCTTTTCTCCTTTTTTGTTGGTTTCATTTATTTCTCATTTCCTCAAAACTGTCCATGTAAAAAGGTACAAACTTAAATTCACTCATGTTACATAGCCATTTCATGTAATGTCAATATGACAAATTGGAACCTTAAAAAGGCTTTAGGGTATAAATTCTTTTTAACAATTACTATTTATTGTAGTTAATACTTTTTCATCTTTAAATATAAAGATGTAACTTATCATTAAAAAAAGACAAAACACTTACTGCACTTGTTTTCATCACTGCCATCATTACAATCATCAATAGAATTGCATCGAGCAGTAGAATTATAAGAAGTTCCGTCGGAGCAAACAACAAGGTCTGTTAAATTTTATAGAAATATAAAGCAAAACATTAAAAATTGATACTATTATTATGAAGGTAACAATAATAATGATGACTGCATAGCATTACTCTCGACCATGATACTGATAATTTTATAAATGACACTCATACACAAAAATGGTTTAAAAAAAAACCCTGTTCCAATCACACACAAAAAATATTTGTAGCAAGAATGTTTAAAATCTACATAGTATTTTTTTTGCCCAGCATAAGCCAATGGATAGGAGTATGAAGACAATTTAGAATAAACAGAATACCACGTGCATGGAACTAAAGTCAGACTTGGGTTCCGTGTGGTTCTTATTCTTTGCGAGTGTGTATGGACATGTTGAAGAGTCTCCTCACAAATCAATAATTTGTTGATTGCGATACCTCTTTATTGAAGTTATCTTTGAAACTCATATCTTAATTATAGTATAATGACACTGACACGCCTAGCATACATAATAGAAAATTTGTTGGATTGGTACACTGTAATCTCCACAAAAAAAAAATCTCCATCTTGTGCCTATTGCAAATGGCAGATGTAGATAAATGAATTGCCAAAAGATGTTAGTACCACCGATAGGACTCTAATACTAATAGCCCAATCTATAGTCCAGGTTCATATTGAAACTAGATGGAATTTTGACTGCGCGCAGTCGAAAATGATGCCTCCGCCATAGAGCAATTTAAACAAGTTTGGAGTTTAAATCTCCAGTGGTTCTTGAGATATCATGATAACAATCTCAATGTATGGAATTTCATAAGTTGACCTCTGTGACCCTTGACCTTTGACCTACGTGCTCCAAAATCTAATCAGATTGTCTTCCTATGGTGATACACACTATCATTAAGTTTGAAGTTTAAATCTCCAGTGGTTCTTGAGATATTATATGGTGATACATACTATCATTAAGTTTGAAGTGAAAATTCTCCAGTGGTTCTTGAGATATCGCGATAACGATCTCAATGTATGGAATTTCATAAGTTGACCTCTGTGACCCTTGACCTTTGACCTACGTGCTCCAAAATCTAATCAGATTGTCTTCCTGTGGTGATACACACTATCATTAAGTTTGAAGTTTAAATCTCCAGTGGTTCTTGAGATATTATGATAACAATCTCAATGTATGGAATTTCATAAGTTGACCTGTGACCCTTGACCTTTGACCTACGTGCTCCAAAATCTAATCAGATCGTCTTCCTATGGTGATACATACTATCCTTAAGTTTGAAGTTTTTACATCTCCAGTGGTTCTTGAGATATCATGATAACAATCTCAATGTATGGAATTTCATAAGTTGACCTCTATGACCCTTGACCTTTGACCTACGTGCTCCAAAATGTAATCAGATTGTTTTCCTATAGTGATACACACTATCACTAAGTTTGAAGTTTAAATCTCCAGTGGTTCTTGAGATATCATGATAACAATCTCGATGTATGGAATTTCATAAGTTGACCTCTGTGACCCTTGACCTTTGACAAACGTGCTCCAAAATCTAATCAGATCGTCTTCCTATGGTGATACATACTATCCTTAAGTTTGAAGTTTAAATCTCAAATGGTTCTTGAGATATCGCGCTAACAAACTTAATACAAGGAATTTCATAAGTTGACCTCTGTGACCTGTGACCTTTGACCTACGTACTCCAAAATCTAATCAGATCGTCTTCCTATGGTGATAAATACTATTCCCGAGTCTTAAGTTTAAATCTTAAATGGTTCTTGAGATATTGTGATAATGGTCAAACGGGACGGACGTACGGACGTACGGACGGACAACCCGAAAACATGATGCCTCCGGCACCACCTTCGGTGGCGGAGGCATAAAAACAAAGTTTTTGCTTTTAATTGTTAATATTAATCCTATTAATATTACTATCATTATTATTGTTATTATTATCATTATCATTATAAGTGTTATCGTCATCATAGTTCAGTTCTTGTATAGCGCATAATATGTTATGAAATAACATCTCTATGCGCTTCCAAAGAGCTTTGGACTTTATTACCCTAGCTTTAGCTCCGGCAGCTTTATCAGCGCACAGTGCATTTCAAGGAATAATCCTACCAGGTACCAATTTACCTCACCTGAGTGTGGCAAATGTAGATCAATGTCTTGCCAAAGGACATTAGTTCCACGGCGGAACTCGAACCGCAGACCTTGTGATCGATAGTCCGGTGACGTATCCACTTGACCACAACACCTCTATTAATATCATAATCATTATTATTACTATTATCATTATTATCATGATTATGATCATTATTTTTATTAATATTATCATTATTATCATCATCATCCGTCATCACTTCATTAAAGCCTCCTTACCAGATATATCGATGCTCTGAACGGCAATGCTGAACCTCCTGTCTCTGAGTGTACTATACGACGAGGAAACAAGCCTAATCCACATTGTTGGGGATGCAACCACAAAACTGCCACTGGTACCACCATGGTAGCTAGACAGGTTGAAAGTTGGATCTATGCCAAAAAATGGATCAGCACCAGGTCCGATACTAAGGGTATCTCCATCGCCGAGAAAGACGTCCTGGGGTGTTATTCGGAAGCCGGATGTGTTTGTTTGCAAGACATATGTGAAGAACAACAAATTCCCATAACCTAGAGGGTAGCCTGGGGATGTAACTGATAGACGCTGTGCTTCTGCTAGGAATATTTGGCTGGGTTCTGTGTTAAAAAATTGACGGGAGAAGACTTTATAAAAACAACATAACAAAAATTGCCATTTGAATTATCATTTTAGGATTTTGAAATTGATAAAATCAACTTGGAACCGCAAGTCAGCAATAAGATCTTAACTTAATCCTAATGTAGCAAAATATCTTCCTATTTTTACAACTTTCAACTTAACTACTCCCTTCTTGTACAGCAAAAGAGTGGAAATCTACTTAAGGTCACATTGGGGATTACTAATTCCTTTGGAATTAAATCAACTCCAACATATAGTGGAATCGACTCCAAAGTAGAGGTTAAATTACTCTTTTGAGAGTGAATTCATCTATTTGGAGTGTTTATTTCCACTCTTTACAAAGGTGTTAAATCGGTATAGGTAGGATGAAATTCCTTGAATGCTGTGAGCACTGAAAACAGTAGCCTAGCGGAGCCGGGGTAATATATGATAATAAGCATTATTATCATCATCATCATCATTTTGACATTACTATTATTATTATCATATGACCCCTAAAGTTCGATTTAATTAAATTCATTTTATTTGCACATTTGATATAAATCACAATAACATACACAATACAAATTCAATTCCAACAAATAACACAACAGAACAGAAGTATCAAAATGTGGGGGGACAAACAAAGGCCAAAGGCCTGTCAAAGGCTTGACCCTAAACTATAAGAGTATATAAATCATGTGGTACAACAGGAAGAAAGAGAAGAACAAGGCAAACGTACCGCTTTACAGACTCAGAGGGTGTATGATTTAAAAAGAATAGATTTATATATTTTGTTAAAACTAGATAAGGAAGGGCATTTCTTTATTTCGGACCCCAGACTATTCCACAATTTTGGACCACAATATTTTATTGTGGTACAGGAAAATTCATACTTATATTTTGGAATTTGAATGTGGTTAGACTGTCTTGTTGATTAAGGTACAAAAGAACAATTTTTGGGAAAACAATCATTTAGAAATATTGGCAACAGACCGTGCAGGTACGAAAACATAAGACTGGCTAATTGCAACTTGTGTATATCTTGAACTTTCAACTGTTATCGTGTGTGCTAAGGGTGCTCAACCAGCAATAATTTGTATTGCTCTTTTTTGTAAGATTATAATTCTATTAAGATGGGTTGAAGCACAACTACCCCAAATAAAGTTACAGTATGTCAAATTAGGTATAATCATAGACTGATAAATAGCAATTAGAATATGGTGAGGTAAAACTTTCTTTAATCGACTTAACGCCCCAATGACTTTTGATATTTTGCATGCCGTCTCAGAAATATGATTTTTCCAACTTAATTTATCATCGAAAGCAACCCCTAACAAAATTAGTACAATGTACTAAAGTTGCTCGTGTACATGTACATATAGAGAGTATTATCTCCCATGTTCCATTTGTGGCAAATTTCTGACAGTATGGAAATCGTACCTGACACAAATATTTTAATAGATAGATCTATGTTCCATAGCTTGGAGGCCATTGGGGCGACTGTCACAATGTAAATGGTTAACCCCCCCCCAAACATCCATGCATAGAATAGTTCAGAGAGGAGTGCAGCTAGTAGGCTGCAGTGCCCACTATAAATGGTTTACATTGAATGGGAGATTGGACTGCACTGAATGCTTCACACAGGTGGAAGTTATGGTGTGTGAGCTTGAAAGCTTGGATGACGGAGATTGGAAGCTGTGGTGTAAGAGATTGAGAGTCAGTTGTTGGAGGCCCCAAGGAGAAGGCACACCCCTTGTGTATGTACTGTTCCGTTCGGTAATGCAGGCCTACCAGCACTGTTCTAAACTACAGTTCCAGCATCTCAGGCCAGGAGAAGCCTCCATGACTCAACTCACTCACATCAACTGTAAGTTTAAACTATTTATTATAAAGTGAATATATATTAAACTTAATTCATGAAGAGCCATCAGCCAATTTATATAACTTTTGAGCATAAATACCATTGATGAATTATGATAAAATACAGCATGTAATTTTAATTGTTTGTGTGATAGTCTGCAGTGAGATTTGCAAAGTGATTTTAGGCAAACTGTTTCATGATGTATATTAATCTATTTTGTTTATATTGCAAATTTAAAAGAGGCAAGGACTATCTTTAAGTTGTTCGTTAGGGACGAGCTGGGCTTGTTTAGCCACTTCTTTAAGCTGTCTTTTATAGCCACCCCTTGCAGCTACACCTCTGAGTCACCGTTCGTTGCCAGTGAACGTAGCCACATCGTAGCCACACTGTAACTGTCTTCGTTTCACAATTGAACATATTCATAAATAACTTCATATTTACCACATGCGCTTTGAATTTCATCATCATAAAACGGGCAAAGATAGTGGCCATTACATAACTCATCACTCCTGACCACCAGTGGGAAATGTGAGCAGATCAGTGAATCTGATGGGAACAAATTGAAAATAGAATTTGGTAAAAGTGGAATAAACAATAGCATATAATATAATGAAACATGCCCCCCCCCCCTCCTCCCTTGAAATTGAACGTCTGCATTTCATTGGGAAATGACAAATAGACATTACAATGGTCTCAATAACTTGAATATTCTTAAAGGGAAATCCAACCATAATCCCAAGTTGCTCTATAAAAGAGTAAATAAACAATAAGAGAAAATGGTAGTTACAGTTTGACCGAAATTGGACAAACAAAAAGAAACTCATGAATTGTTAACATTTGTATTAAATTACATATACTATCAAATTGGCCGAATAGGACCTGTCAATGTTGTATACAACAAACGGGAGAGTAGACCATGGAAATGCTATAGCACGAGGGAACTAGCACCACCTCCAAATTGGCAATTTGCAGGGGAAAAATTTGCATAGAAAAATTGTGATTTCATTTTTTAAAACATTCTTATCTCTCTTATTATATGCCTGATTTTCTTCAAATTTTCAACATTTTGCCTCCCTTCTCTTTATGCTATCACAGATGTGAACAACAGAGGTTGGATTGCCCTTATATATGACATGGATTTAAGTGGATTATTATCTTCGTCAATGTGTGCGGTACCCTTCTGGAGCTACTTTTAACATCAGGACAGCAAACGCTTTGACTTTCCTACTTGGTGCTCTTTATCAGCTTCTACATTTAAACAACATTCCAGACTACTTTGACTGGTCTGCTATTAAAAAAGGTAGACTAGCTTTACGTTTCATTCCAACTGCTGTCTATTTATGGAACTTTCTCCCTCATGTCGTAGGAAACATTTCAAATAATGGACTCATTCCAGCTTTTAAATGTAAAATACACAGATACCTCCTTGATGTGGCATGGTTTTGTTTTTAGCTTTATTCATATTGGGCTGGTATAACAGTTAACCACTTGGTCGGCCACCATAGCTCTCATCAATTAGAGATATTAACTGGTAAGGCTTTTGTTCCCATTCTGCAACTTGTAAAATCGTTTGTTCAATTCTAGTCTTTTCTTGTTTTGTATCACAAGGAAACACACGACTTACCTCCCGTGAGAATAGCAGATATCTCAACCACAGCAAAGCTATCATGGTCTTCAAAATAAATGTCATCAATTGGATGTATCACTGCAAACTGTGACCCAAGTTCATAAGAAGAGAAGTTTTGACTCCCTCCATATGTGATGTTTATTTGACCAAAATAGATTGGAAAGAAGAACGCTTGTTCATCTGCAACAAAGCCGGGTACGATTGTGAAGGGAGGTAGGATAATCGATGAATTGGTCAGTTCAAACTTCAAATGATATCCAGGATAGGTTCGTACATGGAGGTAAGGAACTTGGCTTCCACGAATAACAAGGCGTTCGGGTGGCAGGTCAGGTTCAATGACAAGAGTAGAATCTTTTGGTGAAAGCAAGCAGAGGCATAAAATTATATCAAACATTTGAAAAAAACTCTTTTCTTAAAAAAGGAAATCTAGAATTACCTTTCTCTCCGAGAACTGATAAGAAGCGTAAATTTTGAGATTTTGTAGACGGCAAAAGATACATGTTTATTCTCATCCTCTTTGCAATATCGAATGTAATAATGGAACCTTATAGAATGTTGATGTAGAGGGGTCATGGTAATAGGAATAATAATACAAGTGGCTTCTTGTATAGCCATCTTGTCTGTGACGCTGTGACATTCCTAGTGCTCTAATATTATTACCCTGACAATAGCCGAGTGCTCTAGCATACTAGGTACCCATTTCCACCTCGGTGGAGAGTGGTACCTGTGGATTCATGGCTTGCCAAAGGATATTAGTGCTGGGCTAGGATTCGACCCTTAACCTTTGGATTGAGATTCAAGTGAATATTAAAAACCACTGTACCATGTAACCTCAAGTATAGTGGACTGATCATTGAACAAAAGCCTGCTGCACACTATACAATCTGAATGTGATTTGATTTGGAAGATTGTGCAATAACATTTAATATTCAAACAACATGTAAAATCTTGGGAATGAACACGATTCCAAAGAGTCAAATGAATTATTGATTCAAAACCGTGAGATATTTGCAAGCCTTCTTGTGGAAAGAAAATGCAAATCTGCTCTTGCTATCTGAATCGTGAACCCTTATTTTAAACATATGTGTACATGAAACAAGATTGCAAACTCTTTTGAGCAAAACAAGGCAATTTTGATAGTACCAAACTGTATACAGTAATCCAAACATGATTTCTAATAAATAGGGTTTTGAAATTGCCCTTGATTTAATTTCAGTCTTTGCGATTGGTTGTATGAAATGAATTAAGTAATCCACAGCATTCTTACTTGTGATACAGGGTCCGAGCAGGATATCATCAATAGCAATAAATCCCTGGTTGTAGTAGTTGTGAATGATTCCTTCAAGAATAGCAGTCCCAGATGGAAGACCAAACAAGTTGATCTCGGCATACGTCCATCTATCAAAATAGTGTAAGACATAATATACACGGATAGATGGATAGATAAATAGATAGAAGTAATATCCATTTTCTAGTAGCCACGATATAACGTCTGTAACAATATATAGTGGTGTAGTTGATTGCAGCTGGCAGCAGAGGGAGACTACTCAGAAATATTGTATGTACTTCATAAATATAAAAGAAAGACAGAATAAGACACGCGCGGATGGGAGGATTATATGTGGGCAAACAATAAATACAAAATGGACTAAAATGGTGAGATTAAACATAATTGTGAGTCTTTAAGTATTTAAGAAATGTCTCAAAACTCAGTTGATAAGTAATCAACAACAATAATATAATTCATTCATAATATTAAAGTAAAGTGCTGTGAAACAACAGCTAGTTTATATCAGTGTTTTATTGTATTGAATTTTTGTATTACACAATCACAATACCATAATCTCGCAGTAAATGTTGTCTATTGATTGTAAAATACTCACTCATGCTTTGACAGGCCTTCATTTATCCAGATCAAGAAAGATTCAGACTTTGATCCATTAGTTTTGTAGGTGATGTTGAGGTTAAGGCTACCAGCAATGATGTACCAGAACGATAAACATTCATTGACTCTAAGGGGATCCTCCCTCACTATTGTCCTTTGCAGTGAGGTGGGGTTGTTGTTGTAGTAATGGTTGGATGACATCACTAAGTAATGGCCAGCTGTTTTCCGAAATAAAAAATAAAGTTGAGTAATTGCCATCAATTAAATTGTGAAAGAAAGAGTTTGGGAGCAATCAGAAAAAAAGGTTGAATATGAATAATACAAAAGTGATGTATACTGTGATGTTTTTGGAATAATCAACAGGACAAGTAATTGCCTCAATCTTGCTGAAAATAACATGCACCAGTGCACACAAAGAAGGGCATATGGTCTACACGCACATGTGGTATGAAAGTTTGGTCCACACTTTACAGCTATTTCTAATCATATTGTGTATATGCAGGAGCATTTGAAGAGCACTAATAATCTAAACTTATATAGCGCTTAATATGGTCTCTAACGCTTTACATATATTACTCAGGCATTTATCTGATATATTTACGCACTATGTGCACCATCTCCACTCCCTGGTGAATTTTCCTACCATATGGTCACCATTAAGGGCATTTGGCAATTACTAACACAAAGGCCTTTGTCATCCTACCAGGTCCCCATTACTCCCCTGGGTATGGACTGGCAAATGTAGATAAATGCCTTGTCAAAAGACATTAGTGGCATGTTGGCATGTCGAGGATCGAACCCATGACATTTGAATTTCAATTCAAGTGCTTGAACCACTAAAATACGAGCAAACTTTTTCAGGGGACATTTTTTCTATAATGTTCTTCTAAACAGGTATACAAAGAATGAGAAAGCTCAATTTTCATCTTTACCAGCACTCAACCTTCTATTTTAAAGACCAAACATAACTCATTTTGTAAAATAAGAAATCAAGACCCTTACAAACTTTGGCGAGGATACATTGTATATAGATGCTGCATTCACATCAAACTAATTTTTGTGATTGTTATATCTCATAAAGAATATCAGCCTCTATCAAAAATACTTTTTAAACAGCTTAAGGGTTGTTCTATAGAAATACTTTTTTTCAAACAATACATGACGAATGAAGTATCTAACAATGTCAGAATATAAACGTAGAAAACACAATCGCAAAACCTTTCAAAAATCAACCTGAGGCAAATGCAGTACAATAGGTTTTTTGCGTCACTTTTCGAAATGCGGGAACATTGCCATGATATCTTACGTACCGCAACATGGTATTGAAATTATCCTTGTGCTGTTTTCTTGAAAATCTTTTTATGATCATGGAAGCAGAAAATGTTCCCATTGTCACCGCTATGCCATTATGACTTACATCTGTGGCCAGTGTGTAAAAGAATGTTTTTCATGACACAGTGTGAACATGCTTTAAAATACCACACTACGTGTCAAAAACTGTTTGTCAACATCAATGTTGACCCACTTTAAGGTCCCGCTGTGTTTCATACTATGCCTTCAGGGAGGTGCAACTCATATCTTTGATGTGTATCCACATATATACGCACAACAACATTATTTGTCGTTAGAATTCTTTAGATAAATTTAAATGGATTGAAATAAGAGTTCATCATGCATTTACCAGTTGTATTAAGAGTATGGTCGACTTCTGCATATTCAGAGTAAGATTGATTCCCTGAAGTAATACTCCAAGATCCAGTGTAACCTCCAGCAGAGATATTGGTTGGGCTCCAGGAACAGAACGAGCCATATTCAAAGTCACAGAACACATCACCTGCACAAGAGGTGAAAACATTTTGTCTCGTTTTATGATATCTGGTAGACACATTCGACAATCAAGCTTGAGAATAGAATCGACATTATTTCATACATCAATATTTGATATTAAAATCCAAATCAATTGCCCGGGCCTTATGTATCTTTTATTTTATATTTTTACTCTCATTAATATACACAAGGTGATGTGACCATTATTATAATTTGGCATCATGTTCCACCTTAATCACCTAGCCATTGGCCCCTCCTAAAGTGAAAGTCCCTCTTCCTTTAATCATACCCATTCATGAAAAATACAAATGCTTATTCATTGTCTCCTTTAAAGAAATTTACAAAACAATTAACATCTACAGCGAACTTTCATTACTCCATCATTAAATTAGACGCATATATAACATAAATAGAGAATGACACAAAACTTTGAATGTGGGCACTAGACTTTTAAAGATTTTGCACCATTTTCACCAATTAGTCTATAATCTGACGATAAGCTTGCGAAACAACTTTTGTGCTGATGTGAATTGAGCAAGATGAAATTTGAAGTACGTAATTTCTTGTAGGGCTTGAATGTATACACACATGCACCAACCCCCCCCCCCCCCCTTACACACACACAAGCATAAATATATATATATATATTTATTCAAGCCCTATCTTAAAAAACAAATGAAATCACTGAATGTACAGATTGTATGCAAGGTAGTTAATGTCTTCTTAAATTTGATAGGCTGTTCACCAAAATTATGCTCATGAACGACTTAGCAATGATCATTTTGAAGAAGAAAAAGCATTCAAAAATTGCTTTTTCCAATTAATGAATGTTGTCACAGTGTTGCTTTCATTGCCTATGAGTGTATGCAACTAGGCTCAAAGCCATACAACCTGACATTGGGTTTGCCATTCATTTTATCCAAAAAGTTTGGAAGAGGAAAATTTGACATAAATCAGGCAAGCTGTCTATTGTGACGTTTTATTGTTCAACGTGTCAAATTAGAGAAAATACATTGTGGACATTTTGATATTGGACTACATTTAAATGTACTGATTGTAATGATATGCTGTAACTGTATGCAGGTTTCTGATTTTATTTTTAAATCATAATGTTCATCTTGAAAACGTATTATAAGGCATATCATGTGCTGTTTAAAAGAAAGTTAATGAAAGTTTCAACATACTTATATTTCCATTTCGAATAGTAAGCGAGAAGTATGATCCAATAACATCCCCTGTCCTGAAAAAGATCCAACCATCACTGGTGGTTGTCTGAATGAATCTGTAATGTTGGTAACTATCGAAGTAATCATGTGATACGCTGAAAAGAACATCATTTCCAGGCAAGATGCCTTCTCCTACTTGAAGTAGATCCACTTCAGGAGTGTATCCAACCAAATATGATCCAAGGTTATAAGCCTCAAAGACGAAAACCAGCACTCCGGATTCTGCATGAATCGTCCATGTGATCTGAAGGTTTGGGATGATGAAAGTCGAGTACATGGTACCCACTGATACTGCGCTGTTTTCGGAATCAGCAGTGAAGTTTATCTGTCGTGGAGCTTTATGAAACAAAATAAATATTGGAAAAATTCATAAATATTCAAATAGTTTAAAATTATATAAAGGACGAATGGGCATGAGTTCATTATAAGATATATCCGCACTCCAGTCAACCCTTACTGTATTGGGCTATTTTGAGCACCTCAAGACTGGGGGGGGGGGGGGGGCTGGGAGGCCCCCCCCCCCTACGATCTCGGCCGTCGAAAGTTCGATGAACACAAAAATTTGCATGTTTGTAGATATGAACAAGATGGTATAATTAATTTTTTCCTAATATGCAAATTTTTGTCGTTATAGCCTAATTAATTATGCAAAATGCTAATTTTATGCATTTTACAGAAAACTCGACATATTTGTCTGTAGACTTGCAAAGAATCTTGAAAATGTATTGAATAAATGTTTCCTTCATCTCAAATTCATGAGGTTACATTATTTTTATGATATTTGAAAATGCATAGGTTAGTTTGCATAAATTATGAATACGCATTCATGAATATCAAATCTGGAAATATACAGGGAACTAGAATCATTACAAAAATTTGTCAGACTCCACTTTTTGAATGTTAATTGAAACACATTATTCATATGAAACTTCTTTTCCAACACAAAATAGTTATTTTGATGTAATTAATAATGATAATTTATGCAAATTTGATGCGATTTTCAAATATTTAATTTCTTTTCTATTTAATTGTTTTTTATTTGATATTATATCTATTTTTTTTATTTCTAATGTATTCTTTTGTTCTGGAATACATCAAGTTACTTTGAGAAACATATAAAAGCAATTTGATATCAATTCATACATCTAAACCTGTATTCACATTTCTGCTTGTACACATGAATATATGCAATTATAGCATATTTTTGATGACATACGCATACTAATTGTTATGTAACACCTTATAGGTATATCCGATTTCAACGAAAATGGTATCAAAATGTGCATAAGACTTGAGGGAAAAAAGTCATGCAACGACAATTCAAAATTCCAAGCGGTTGCAGCGCAATCTTCGAAAATGTCGAGTGGGGGGCCTCCCAGGCCCCCCCAATATCTCTATCAGTCTGGGGAATGGTTTTAGGTAGATGCATTTACAGCCTCAATAGCATTGGATGGATTGTATAATGAAAACTAGATGGAATTCGACTGCGCGCAGTCGAAAATGATGCCTCCGTCATAGAGCAATTTTACAAACCGAAACGGAAGAAATTTTTCAAATTCAAGTTCAATTGTAATCCATTAACATGTTCTCAGAATATCGGGATTACAAGCAATTTCTCATATACATATATGACCCTTTGATCTTTGACCTCATGACCCTAAAATCTACTCAGTTCATTGGCTCTGCAAGATTTCCTGAGTTAAATAGTAATCCATCTGTCAGTTCTAATGAGAATGCGTCCACAAGCTATTTTTGCATACATAATGAGCCCATGACCTTTGATCTTATGAACCATTCATTGGCTCTGCAAGATACATAAATGATCTAAGTTTGGCAGGAATCCATCAATCTGTTCTAATGATAATACGATCACAAGCTATTTTTGCATACATAATGAGCCGCATGACCTTGACCTTTACCTCATGACCCCAAAATCTAATCAGTTCATCAGCTCTGCAAGTAACATACATGACCTAAGTTTGGCAGGAATCCATCAATCGGTTCTTGAGATAAGGCGATCACGAGCTGTTTTTGCATACACAATGTGCGCTGTGACCTTTGACCTCGTGACCCCAAAATCTAATCAGTTCATTGGCTTTGCAAGATACATACATGACCAAAGTTTGGCAGGAATCTATCAATCGGTTCTTCAGATAACGCGATCACAAGCTGTTTTTGCATACATAATGAGCCCTGTGACCTTTGACCTCTGACCTCATGACCCCAAAATCTAATCAGATCGTCTTCCTATGGTGATACATACTATCCTTAAGTTTGAAGTTTTTACATCTCCATTGGTTCTTGAGATATCATGATAACAATCTCAATGTATGGAATTTCATAAGTTGACCTCTATGACCCTTGACCTTTGACCTACGTACTCCAAAATGTAATCAGATTGTTTTCCTATAGTGATACACACTATCACTAAGTTTGAAGTTTAAATCTCCAGTGGTTCTTGAGATATCATGATAACAATCTCAATGTATGGAATTTCATAAGTTGACCTCTGTGACCCTTGACCTTTGACATACGTGCTCCAAAATCTACTCAGATCGTCTTCCTATGGTGATACATACTATCCTTAAGTTTGAAGTTTAAATCTCAAATGGTTCTTGAGATATCGCGCTAACAATCTCAATACAAGGAATTTCATAAGTTGACCTCTGTGACCTGTGACCTTTGACCTACGTACTCCAAAATCTAATCAGATCGTCTTCCTATGGTGATAAATACTATTCCCGAGTCTTAAGTTTAAATCTTAAATGGTTCTTGAGATATTGTGATAACGGTCAAACGGGACGGACGTACGGACGGACGTACGGACGTACGGACGGACAACCCGAAAACATGATGCCTCCGGCACCACCTTCGGTGGCGGAGGCATAAAAATGAAGACATGAATCGTCTGTTTTATAAAACAAAATTCCTGTTTGTTTGATAAAGTAAGGAGTCAGTTGAATATTGACCCATGTCATATCGATGGAAAATAAATCCCAAGTTTAGTAGGCTTACTGTTCTTTTAGGACATACTCATAAGCTACTCATGAGGGACCTTAAATCCACAAGCCTTGCTTTCAACCAAGGTCACCTCATCTTTCTATTGTAACGCCATATTCTGTTAACTTGTTATATTCATGTCATATTTGTAATGCGTGTTATGAAAGGAAGATAAATAAAACTTGAACTTGAAAAAACAGCTTTCATATTATTCTACGGACTGAAGCTATATGTAAGCACATTGAAAAGAGACAAGGTGTTGATTTTGCTGTACATATTATCATGGTTATTTTCATATCAATTTTCTTATAAAGATTAAAATTGGCCCTAGGATCCTCTGATGAAGTATGCCGACTCTAGTTTTTCATTAAAAAACATAGCAGTCTATAACACTGGGAAGTGTATGTAACATACATGTTAATATTGGACAACTAAAACATCACATCAGGGTGTCTTACCACTTTTTATCAGGAATAGTACACAATTAGTTAAAATGTTAAAGTTTTAATTTAAAAGAGTACAATGCTGCTTATTGTTAGCTCATCTGATTCATCAATATCTTCGGACATGCCTTGTATTTTAATAATATTCCTTACTAGTATCCAGTGAAAAAAATACACAGGGGCTCAGGGCGAAATAGCCCCCGAAATGCCCAAAAGAGCCCCCGAAAATCAAAAAAGAGCCCCCGAAAATTTGCATAGAGTTCAATGCAAAACAAATTTTAGAATGTTATTTTCATGCAGGCAAGGTTGAAAAGTAGCCCCCCAAAAATAAATATTAATTTTTTCCCTGCTAGTATCTCACATGATGGCAACAACTTTCAAGAAATCAACCAAAGGCGATTTCAATACCCTATTGTATTGAAATCCTTACGTAATCCGTCATTGTCATGCTTGCACAAGCACAAGGCTATTGAAATTGCCTTTGGTTGGTAATTTGAAAGTATTTGCAATCATGTTAACTGATTCAATGTGAGACGTAACATCAAACTTACGGCATTGAGATTCATCTTCACGTTGGGGACACTGTGCAGCTCCATCACACGTTAGATTCACATGGAACACCAAACCAGAGCTATTACCACACGGTCTGTAGTCTATGGAAAAATTGATATAGGTTTATTTTGAACATGCTTCATAGTAAACTTGTAAAAATATATTATAATTCAAAGGACATCAGTGGTAGATCAAGAAGAATAGGCAAATGCAACATCAAGAGAAAACAAATTTGTTATGAACAGTTTTTGAAAAGAGGTGAAAACGTGGTAAAATCATTATGTTAGATAGCCAAGATTCTGTGTATAGGAATTAGTATTGGCACAGATAAACCTCTAAAAAGGGAATGAGATCATTGTAATGTTGAGTTAATCTGATAGAACTTCCAAAATGAAACAGAGTCTGTTAAAAGATATGAAACCTATTTTTCCCTAGCAGTCTCTTTCATAATATATTATGTAAAAATCGATAGGTGAACAAGAGTTGGATCTCAAAATCAACAACAAAGAATGGCCAATCACTGCAACTCTTTCTGTTTTTATTTTGCTCTCTGACTTTCCATTCCATTGTGCTCTGTACAATCAAATGTTCCATGAATGTGATGACGTTATTACATGAATGCCTATCCTGACCATGCAACTGAATACAAATGTGGTTTTCTTGAAATTTTCAAGTTCAAGCGTTTGCTGCTTCGGCTTTTCAACAGACGTACAATGTAGCTATATCATGCATTCCAGTAACTCAATTAAAATGTATTCATGCCTACTGGTAATAATATCATAACATATTTATTACCATCAAATGGATGAAATGCTCTTTTACATAGGTACTTCAAAATCTATTTTTCATATTTCAAATTATATATAGGGAAAATTTGGGTTTCCTTTCTTGAAAATAGATGCCTTAATGCATACAAACCATTTATTTCTGATACGGCTGAAGCAAAGATTTGGAATCCACTTCCTCCATACTCAAACCCTGTGTCTAATGATACTGTGTCTAATGATACCCAAAGGCCATTAGAGGCGGGAGGAGCCAAAACACTGGCATAGACGTCCATAAGTTCATACTCCGAGTAAACCCAAGGGCCTAGACTGAGGAATCCTGAAATGCAGGTAATGGTAGATGAAGCATTCTGAGGGTTGTTACCCTCTCCAACACACAGGGTATCATTGGGGGTAATGGCAAGAATCGCGAAACGAAGCAAGACATAGTTATTATCAGTAGCAATCAAGGACCAAGTTACAGATGATGTTTGACCAGCAGTGTGATAGGTGTAGCCATATGATTGAAGCTTCAAGATATCCCCTGGTGATACTTCATGTGGATCTGAAGTTGAAAAAAAGCACAAAAGTGAAATCAAAATACTTTTTCTCTATTCAAATTATCGGATGTCAAACACATATGCGCATGGGCACATTTCGCTAGAGGAGCTGATAACCTTTGTCCTTATATCAACTCTTCAGCTTCTAAATTTTGCACAATTTTTTTTCTTTTTCAAACAAGACAAATGCGACAGTGTTCAGGAATTGACCTCTGTGACCATTGACCATTGACCTCTTTACCCAGAATCTGATCAGATCATCTTTTTATGATGATACATACTATCATCAACTTTGAAGTTCATATCTCAAGTGGTTCTCGAGATATCGAGATAACGGGCAAGCAGGACAGACAGACAACCTGAAAATATAATGCCTCAGGCACCACCTTCAGGGGGCGGAGGCATAAAAAGAAAAGTTTTGTGTAGTGATAGCTACATATATTTGGGCACCTCCTGCCTAAATATGAGAATATTTGGGCTGCTTGCTGCCTAAATTTGTGGTGGTGGTGGTTGCCCAAATATACGAAATTTACCCCCCCCCCACATCTTGCCTGTCTGGTCATGCAGTCTATGGTTTAGGAATTTATGTATTTATCATTTCAAATTTTCTCCAACCTTTGGATTGAGAGTCAAGTGAGTGAACCACTATATCATGACACTTCCACTTTGTTTTATAGGATCTTTCCTGTATCATAAGTGTGAACAAGGGAATTGATTTTACATAATTCCTATCCTTACCGCACATATATTCATCATTGCTATTCATGCAATCTGCAACACCATCGCATTGGGCTGTTCTTAAGGAGACTTCTGTCGTTGGTTCGCTGTCACAATACATATAGTCTGTATGAAAAAATAAAGTATAAATAATGAAAGTAACGAGGTACAAGCATTTTACAACTCCCTAATCAATTTACAGCTATAAAAGCATTCTTTGTACATGTTAGTAATTTAGTGGAATCCTTTGGCAACTAAATATCTTTCATATATTTTATTCAAAATCTCAAAGATTTTGTTATACTAAAAAAATAGAGGGTAGCACAAAAAGCACAAGGCAGCCGATATCTGTAATTTCAACGACATCATAGACAAAATGTCATTTTTTTTGGTTTGTTTTATTGGATAGAACTTTTTTTCTTAGTATTTCAAAGATCATCAATTTTGATTAGGCCATATAGATTCTGGAGCTTATTTTTAGTGGCAGAGTTGTTTTCAATATAACCATAATCGTGCTAGATGCAGTGACAAATTTTTACCTGACGGCTTCCCATAGAATCACAACATAACATACGAACGCCCGTTTCATTCATGTTTTTTTTTAATGCATTGATCTTAAGTATGTTGAATATTAATTTAAATTATTTGTATGCACCTTGAGCATCTTTAAAGATGGATATGTTTCGCTTTATAAATATTGTTATCATTATTATTATTTAGCAGCTGATTGTATGGAATCCCATCATGCACAATTCTTGCTGCTTCAAGCATGACTACTGTTGCAAAGGTAGCAAATTTGAAAACAACTTTGCCTCACCAAAATAGTCCAAGAATCAAAACATCTAACCCAAAATTTATTATCTTGGTTTCATTTTACAAGAATTTTCTACTTGATAATATAAAACACAATGACATTTTGTGAATGATTTCGTTGAAATTACAGATCCCAGTTGTTGAAATCTTTTTTGGCTACCATGTATAATAAGGAATATTGAATCTAATGCACTGATACCAACCTCTTGCTTCTACAGCAGTTATTTGAAACTCAAAGTAGTCGTAGGCATAAGTTGAGTACTGATATTCAATGAACATATCTGAACTGTTGAGGAGGTGTTTCTCGTGAGCCCCAGACTGGTAGCTATAATAATAACCATCCCTGTATGTTACATTCCATGTCCTGCTGCTATTGGTGTTTGGGTCATGTCCATAACCAAAGACCAGATGGGAGCCATCATAAAAGTATGAGTACAATGGTTCGATCAGAAAGGCCAAATTTGGTGCATCAGCAAGAGTGAGCTTCCAAAGGATGTAGCCGCCCCCAGAATGATAGGTCGATGACACATTCACTGATTCACCTTGTGTGAGGACTCTCTCTACAATAAAAAAAAAACAAACACTGGAAATAATTTTAATGGTAATTATGATTATAATAATAGCGATAATAAGTATTATAATAATAATAACATTAATAATAACAATAAAAATATTAACAATCTGAATCTAATAGTCAAGTGCTTTGAGAGGCTCTTATTGAAATTAAGAACTCTCTGAGATGACTGGCATAGTTGTGGGGGGGCATATCTTGTGAGGGGCATAGCCTCGTACGAAATAGTAACTATGCTTGTCAAAGGGAATTCATAATTTTACCAGTGCCTTGAAAACAGTGTATGACATATTTGATGTATACCCTTAATCAATACATTAACATAAAAATAAAGGGGTAAATTAATTGTGACAAACTTGGAAATGACTGCAAATTAGAAAAAAATGACTCCGCTGGGAATCGAACCTGGGTCTGTATGGGAAATGCCTTAACCACTAGACCATGTAGGCGGGTTGAGGCCAAGAAAGTATTGAAGAAGGACAAGCTGCATGCCTAGCTAGATCCATGTGGCATATATGAAGCTAGTCATAGTTCAATACTCCCCCATCCCTCAAAGAAAAGGAAAAAGTCAACTGCGTATTGGTTGGATAGGCTGTCAGTCAGTGACTGTATCTGGTGTAGCCAAGTCCCACTCAATCTGCCTCCAGGGGGCATTTTTAATTGCCACGCTGTAATTTCAAAGAAGTGGGTAAAAAATGGTTTGTAAAATCAATTTAATACAACCACTCCCCCACAAAAAAACAAAAACAAAATCCATCATTACCACATCCTTTTTCATCTGTACCGTCATCGCAGTCAATGGTGAAGTCGCATACTACCACCCAATTGTGCAGCTGGTTCCCATCACAGAAGAAATAATCTGCAAACAATTTTATAACACACTTTTTATAAACTTTAGCATGACAAAAAGTTGTTTAAAATTGAAACCCCCATTTGACTTTCACTACTCCTAGAGCTAAGCCTAAAGTAAACAATCCCCCTGCGGAGACCTTGGCGAGGTGAGAGAGGGAGAGAGAGAGAGATAAGCATGATAGAGGGAGAGAGGAAGGGAGAAAGAGTGCTAATTTTCACAATTAAAATTGTTGTATCGCCAATTTTGGGTCATTTTGCTTTGTTTGAACTTTCATTATGGCCTTCATCTAAATTATAAGTGACTTTTGGACATGAAAATATCTTAAAACAAGTAAAATATATACAGTAGGTTTGCGGTTGCACCATGTGTGAGAGAGAGAGAGAGGTTTGAGGAGTCCTGAAAAGGACTCTGACTCGGTAATCAACCCGAGGATCGCCTTGCTATGACACAGCCAAACACCTGACCAAGATTCTCCAACCACTCGTAGGACAATCGCAGCACCACATCAATAACTCCAAGCATTTCGTCGATATCCTCTCCAAGACCACCATACACGATACAGACATCATGGTCAGTTTCGATGTTGAATCTCTCTTCACCAATGTTCCTGTCACCGAATCCTGCCGAATCGTCAAAGAACGCCTCGAAGCTGACGACACTCTCCCCAACAGAACCCCCCTGACACCGGATGAAATACATGACCTCATGTACTTCTGCCTCAACTCAACTTCCTTCAAATGGCGAGACAATTACTACCAGCAACTTCAAGGCGCAGCCATGGGATCGCCTCTTTCACCGGTTATAGCCAATATCTTCATGGAGCACTTCGAAACAACGGCACTCCAGACTCTCTCACAACGCCCTTCTCTCTGGCTCCGATATTTCGACGACACATTCGTCATCTGGCCACATAGCAGACCTGACTTAGACCACTTTCTCGCCCACATCAACCAGCATTACCCGAGCATCAAATTCACCATGGAGACCGAGCAAAACAACAGCATCCCCTTCCTAGACGTTCTCGTTACCAAATCACCATCCGGCAAGCCCGCTCATCAAGTCTACAGTAAACCCACACACACCGATAGATATCTTCACTACAGATCCTTCCACCATCCATCCGTACTACAATCAGTCCCCAACGCCCTCATCCGCCGAGCCCATCAACTCAGCGATGCAGACCATCTAGACCAGGAAATCCAGCATGTCACCACAGCCCTAACCAGCATCAACGAATACCCAAGACATAAGATCAAATCCAAGACTCCCGCCAACAAGCCCGCAGCTAACTCCACCCCTGAAGAGAACCAACCCGCAGCTACACCACCGAAGCAAACTATTGTTCTTCCCTATATCGGTCAAGCCTCTCACAAGATTCAACGTATCCTTCAAGCAGCAGACATCCAAGTTCGACACAGTTCCTCCAACAAACTCCATTCGATACTCCACTCCCACAAAGACAAGCATCCAAACCACAAGAAAGCTGGAGTCTACAAAATACCATGCGAATGTGGAAAAGTCTACATTGTTGAAACGGGGAGAAATCTGGAAACAAGACTCAAGGAGCACAGAACCAGCTTCAGACTCAGCGATTGGGATAAGTCCGCCATCGTCAAACACGCCCAGCAACACAAACACACCATCGAATGGGATAACAGTCATCTCATCTCCATAATGAAACACTGGCATACACGCCGAATTCGAGAAGCCATCGAAATTCACCGCCACAACACCGTGCCCAGAGCTGCCAACATTTGATTTGGGTAATCAGGGAGATTTCTGAGAGAGCAGCATCGAACGACTTCATTGTTGGCGGGAACCAAGAATGGCCTTTTAGTGCCCCTGGTGGGGGGGGGGGGGGGGCAGGGGGCAGGCCCCCAAAAGCTCTTGGTTTTAAGCCTCTTTGAAACCCTTTTAGAACACATTTTTTCAATGATTTCTCAAAATGGAAGGCTTTGATATGGCACATTTTATTTGCATACAATTGATAACATATGAACTTCACATCATATTTCAGACTATGAACTCCTGTTACCTCTATTGTGAAATGGGGGATGTACTTGTGGAAGGCAAGGACTGGGGTGTGCTTGAGGGTTTTCCTTGAAGTGACTGGTAGGTTGCTTGCTTGAGTTTGCTAAGGAGGTCCTTGCTATACTCCCTTTGGTAGCATGGGACATCTGTGTTGGCAATTTTCTCTGTTAGGAGTGCTTGAAGTGTTTTCAAATTCATTGATCCCCTGAAATCAGTTTTGTTCTTCCTAACAATGCTAAAAACTCTTTCACATGAAGCATTGGAATGTGGTATCACAAGCAAAGATTTCATCACTTTGCTCAGAAGTGTGTATTTCTTTGAGCCATTGCCATCCTCCATCTTTGAAATTGCAGACCATTTCTTGTCTATTCTCAAGTTTTTGTTCAGGATCTCTGGTGATGTGGCGAAATACATCATTTCTTCCCCCACTCTTGATGGAGATATCTGCGCCGCAAACTGTACAAAATGCGTAGTATTCGCCTTTCGTAGATTTCCCAACACAAGGCCATTCCAAGTGGTAGTCATCAAAAATCTTACAATCTTACAATCTAGTCATCTTTATATTTCTGATAATATTTCGACTTCGACATTGTCCTGGATGATATTTTAATACTCAAACAGAGAGCAAAATACAGCCTTGTTTTGGACAAAGTTGACTTACGCCTTCGGAAGATGCAAGTTATATCGATGCGTTCCCAACGGCAAAGGAGATCAGAAAAAAAAAGTCGGCTTCAAAATCCACTCTGCAGTAACACTGCCATGTTGGTATCAAATGATAATCCACTTAAAAATCACATCGCAAAAGTCCCCAAATCAATCCAAAAACTGATGTTGAAATGTGCAGTTTTTTGGGCCGATCGCAGCAGACAAAGTCTGCTTGTTGTATCAGTGCAACTTCTGGCTGCTCTGACGCGACCGATCGGAAACCGGCACCAACGTACCGGGACGCTACGGGGGCCGGCGAGGAAGCCGCCCGGCAGAGCAAGCAGGCGAATTGCTATCACACAAACACCACTCACATTATCACATGTTCCCAATGGTTTGTTAGATTAGCCCGCCAGTCGTTCGGCGTAACTCTCATTTATTACGCTGTTAAATAAAGTACGATATCACGGTAAATTTATATTCGACGACTGGATAACAGGAAAATTCATATTACAGAATTGCCGTGTGTTTGTATACGTACGTACGAACTCAACATGCTAGTCTTGTGAAACAGTCGTTTATGAAAATAATACAACTTAAAATCTGGAAATCCGGGAGATTTTTGCATGGGGTCGGGAAAACGGGATATTGGGTCAAAATCCGGGAGTCTCCCGCAGGATCCGGGAGACTTGGCAGCTCTGCGTGCCCCAAGACTCAGGACTATACATCAACGACATCTGGAAACCTCTCATCAACAAGTACCCGGTCACTCCTCCTCCACCACCGCCTCCAGCACCGCCCTCACCACCCCGACAGATACCCGTACATCAACCACCGCCACCCGCCGAACCCTCAAAGCAGCCGCCAGTCTCACAGCTACAATGCACAGCAGACGACAACAGACTACAACGCCGCCTACGTCGGGGACACACACAGCGTCTCGCCGACAGCACTTCCCACTCATCGACTCGAAACTCTCCTAAGTCCGCAACCCGGAGCCTCCAGCCCAGGCGGACAGTCAGACGAATTACCTGCCGACCATCCATGCCCACTCCCCGATGACTCAAGCCGACACGGTCTACTATTTTTCCCTGACGTCCGCACCCCGGTCACTTAAGCTCACGCACGCCAGCTATTCTCCACTCCTGACGACGGATAGTCAACCTGTTCGAAACGTCGAGCCACTCATCCTCTCCAAGCGCTATAGTTCTCCTGAGAACTATATGCTAAGAAAGATAACAAACAGTCCTTTTCAGGACTACACTCCTCCAAGAAAGCTTACCGAGTCAGAGTTCTTTTCAGGACTCCTCAAACCTCTCTCTCTCTCTCACACATGGTGCAACCGCAAACCTACTGTATATCTACATCACCATGCAAGCCGACACTTACAAGCAGCAAGTAAAATATATATTTTCTACTTCTCATTTCCTTTCAGGCAGAGCCCCAGTAAGAGTTTGTTTACACTAGTATTACGTAACATGATGAAGAGTCCAGCTGCAATGCTGCAATCCAATATCATAATCTCTCACACAGAGCCAATTGGGGTAGTGGTACCCCATTAGATTGGTGCCTGTGTAATAGAAGTAACTCTCTCAAAGTTTTAACGAAAGAAACAAAATTGGGGTTCTGGCACCCCACCAGATTACATTGATTCCTGTGGTATGGTGGTCGGGTATATTTTTAATGAGAGCTTTTTGTAATAGGATATTTTTTGACCTGATAAGTGTTGCTGCAATTTAATAATAATAATAATAGTACCGGTAATCAATATTTTGTAAACCCAGGAAAAGCCACATCAGGATCAATGCTCTTCTCCCAGAGGGCCTTGCAATTATTAGCCAGGAACGTACCCATTAACAACTGGCTGGAGAGTAGATTTTTTTTTTATTAATGTCTGGCCAAAGGATGTTAGTACTGTGCTGGGATTTTATTTGTGTACTGTGAAACAAAATGTTCATGTATATGAATGAAGTTTACTTATAACATTCAAATTCAAATTCAAACCCTTAACAAATATACTGAGAAAAAGTCAAGTGAATAAACAACTACACAACAACACATTCATACCTCCATGAAACAGTATTTGATGAGCATGATCAATAGAATGGTAAGTGCGCAAATAATCTTTTTAAAAACAAGATGTGTGACTTAACATTTTTGAAATAATTTGATGAAACAACAAAGAAACAAATGAACAAATATACAAGAACAGCAAGCACAAGTTTTTGACTTGAAAATTAGGTCAAATGAAATAACAGTCTAAAGAAATTGAATGTAGTTGGAAAAAAGTTTTCAACTAGAGGGACTTTTAAACAATTTGTTTTTAAAAAATAAAAAAATACATTACGTTCTAGAAATGACAAATGAATGCAAGAAATATTGGTGTGAACAACTTTTCTTTTGGGAGTGGATTCCAATATTTTGTCCACGGATACCCTCTTGAATTGAAGTGGTTCCTAACATCACTCCGAAAAGAGTGGATTTCCATTCCCCAATGAGTGGATTCACGCTCCTATACAAATAGAGAGTACATACCTGATGCATTCAACACTGATATTTCAAGTTCAAATCCCATGTCGGTGAAATACGCATCTGATGAGAACTCAATGACGACTGATGGTTCACGTAAGAGAAAATCAACAGAACTGTAGATTCTGCTGTAGGGTCCATAGGAGAAAACGTTGGTTGTAGCATTAGTTTCCTGGTCTCCAGCTCTTCCCGTGAGATAGTCATAAGAATTTAGGGATAACCTCAGGATGGTAATTTGAAAATACAATTCCTCATGGTCTTTGGTGATGACCCAATGAACGTAGGCATTGTTTGGGTAGAAATCAGGAAAGTTGGGAGACTGAATTCGGATGGTTTCTCCTTCACTTACATGTTCATGGTAATCTAGTTTAGGGAAGAATTCAAAATGAAATTTTCAACCTTATCAGTACTACCAAAAAACAATGTCAATAAGAATAGTGACAATGACGATAATGTTGATGATAATGATAATAGTAATGAAGATAATAATAATGATAATATCAAATTATAATAATTACAATAATAATAATAATAATAATACAAATTAATGATAGTGTGGGGGTATGCAGGTTGAAACAATCCCAGTGGTTGTAGAAGCTATATGAGTCATGAAGAAAGGAATGGAGAAGTTTAGTGACACATCCCAGACAATCCTGTCGCAAAATAATTATCTCTGAGTCCTTGGAATTACAAATAATAATAATAATAATAATAATAATAGATTTATATAGCGCAGCTTTTATACAAAATATATTCAGCTGCGCTGGGAGAGACAGAAATGATGTGTCCTCAGCATAATGTTAGGTGAGAAAAATTACGATATACGAGTCTGATAAAGATTACATTTAGTTATTTGATTAAGTTTAGCTAACAGTAGACGGTGTAAACCAATAAATGGTAGCCCTAATCCTAGCGCATGCTGATCGTCTAGCGACAGTTAACTTCATGAACCCTACCAACTGCATAAAATAGCCCTGTTGGGCTCTTGTAAGTCGTTTTTGAAAAGCCTAAGGTTGATGTTAGTTCTAGATCAAGATGTCTTGACTAGGCTGCGATACTAAATATTTTAGTGTCTGTTAAGCCCTAAACAATTTTGTGAGCATCATACCTCCCATACACTCTCCCATTCGTTTGTGTATAATTTTCGTGCTGTGCGATTAAAAAAAAAAAAAATCACGTCATCTGTCTTATATGTAGAATAAGCTAAGGCAAAGTGCATATATGGCTAAGGCAACTATCTTAAACTAGACAAATTCTAAGAACTTAGAAGTTTATTGAATACGGGCCCAGGTGCCAGGAAATGCTCTCAACCTTAGGTCTTTCAAATCAGATCGAAGATGACAGTCTTGAGAGGAGGTGGAGATAGAGCATAGTAAAGTTACAAAGCAAATGCTGGATGAACTACTCCAGCTATAGGAGAGTAGATCAGAGACCATCAACAACCAAGAGGTTGGCCAGCGTAGCAATGTCACAAAGGCTGAGTCAATGCAAGAACTGGATTAACCAAGTGGCAATGGAGAGACCTCCAACAGATAGACAGCGAATGGAGGATAAGGACTGTAAAGCGGCAAAGCAAATTAAAGCCATCATTCCCAGTTGATGGACAAAGTATTGTTCATTCACCCGCAATAGTGAACAAGGCTATTGACATTCTGGTTGATCACATGTTGATGGCATAACTCCCTTTTAATACCAGACCTCAGTATTTTTTCCGGAGATCCGCTCATATACAGCTTGAATAACGCCATTGATGTGGTGATGGGAAATAGTGGGTTTGAACCATTAGAGCGATTTTTCTACCTACTGAAGTACCAATATAATTACCTCCTCGAAAACTGGTTCGAGGTTATGCTCTCGAAGGAGATAAGAGATAATATTTTGATACCCTAACAATCCTCAAGCAATGGTATGGAGATCTGTTTGTGCTGTCCAACGCTTACAGGGACAAGTTAGACTCTTGGCTGAAAGTAAACTACAAAGACAGGCAAAGTCTATGCAGGCTGTCTGACTCTGCTGGACAATGCTGCACAGCTATGGAAACCTTAGGAAACTTGTGATAAATCTAGGCGAAACTCCTAGATCATCTGGCCCCAAGATGGGACAAGAAGGTGGACAACTGTATAAAGGGCAGTCTAAGGAGTTTCCCTCGTGTCCAGGAATTCATTGAAAGAGGACAACATTGCCTGTGGTCCTGTCACCTCCCTGCAGAGTCTGAAGGAGATGAGGTCTGATAAGAGACTGACCATGCAAGGCTGGTCATTGATTCACACCTCGACAGGCGACTGTGGACCTCCTCAAGCAGGCATGGTCAAGAAGCAGCATTATCCAAGCTGTCAGAACACAACTAACATGCAGGTACCCTTAAATAAGGACCTTATCTCCAAGACTTTGACCAATGAGAACAAGTACGCCAAAGAGAATAACAAGTATTTTTGTGTCATAGATTTGTATCATGACATTTGATCGGTACTAAATTAAAAAATACACATCAAAAGATTCGGTTTCAAGTCTACAAAATGTGTACTACAAATTTCCTGTATCTGCCGTTAATGTTCTGCTGCATTTTTTAAGCGTCATTCAATGTTCTGCTGTGCTTAAGGGTCGTTCTATGCTCTGCAGTATTTTCTTAGCGTAATTTTATGTTCGGCTGTATTTGCATAAAATATAATTGATGTTTGAGTCAAAATTAGAAATTTCTGTGAAGTATTTTTGCATATCTAACCTATTAGCTTTATTAGAGAAAACAAAAACAAATAAACATTGGCTAATTAATTGTGGAGAAGAATCATTTTCTTGTATTTATTTGGGGGCTTTAATTTTTGAATAAATTTGCATTAATTATCATAACCAAAATTTCAAAATATTTTTTTAATTTCTGTGTATCTCATTAAAATCTATAAAGCAAACAGAATCAAAATCGGATGAGAAACGATGGAGAAGAAGCATTTAGAAATTGTGGATGGATCATGGACGCCAGATGCCATGGCACACTGTTTAGCTCATCGCACCAATGCGGGCTGGATGAGCTAAAAACAAAACCAAAACCAGATATGTGTACATACCTAAAGATCCAGCGATCACTGTTAGCTGCAGCTGGAATCCCTGACGCGTGACTGAATAGTCACTGGTGAATCGCATCCAACTATTAGAACTGTACAATCTGTAGAACAAGACAAAATTGTAAAACACCTTTCATGATATTAATACATATTATCTGATTATTCACTATGTTCTGGATACACTGTTATTTCACACTTCAGCGCAATGCAATGCCGTAGTATTATTCAGTTAGCTTTTTTTACTAGTAAAAAAACTAAAATTTCATAGGCATAGCAATCCTTTCAAGATTTATTTGCATTTGCAAGAACACCCCAAAACTCATGTAACTGTATGTTGCCTGTAGACCTTCCTGATTTGCATATTAATATCGTTAGCCATTTCATATAGCAGGAAATAGGTCCAAAACAACATCAGGTGTCATTGGAAGTGACGGCCTTAAGTATGATTTCATTGTTTCATTTATATTTCTTTTCCAGTGTGAGGTAACCACCTGGCACATAATCTGTCGTACAGGCAAAAATGGTTTAAAATATCTGAGACATGGCAGATAACATCAGAGTCTCAGAGGTTTTCAGTTTGTAGCACAGGAGAAAGTGAGTTGCTGTTGAGAGCAAGATCACCTACTTTCTTTAATAGAGAAATATCCTTATCACAATGACAAAAGACGGACCGACCAAAATGAAAAAATTGCATTAATCCAGAAACTGACATACAACAAAAACTAATGTACCGGTACTTTATATCAAAATTTGTTGGGATGAGACGTCACACCCACCATAACAGAACATTTCAGTTACATGAACACACACACATGCGCAAATTTAGAGACACATGTATAGGTGAAACACTATTTTGTTCATATGGCTTCTTCAAGTTAAAATGCAAGTACATGTGCATTAAAAATGCACAAATATAAATAATGTATACATTTACACAAACCTCAAAGAAGCTGGTATATCTTGTCCTGAGAAAGTTTTTGCCACCAAGTTCCCAGGCGTATGACCATTCCCTATGCTCAGATGGTCATAGCCACTCTCCAGATTAAATGCTATGAATGTGATGAGCACCGAGTAGTTTGATGGAGCCGTGATGTACCAAGTATAATAGGCGTTGTTTGGATACTCATTAGGATAGTTTGGTGATGAAATTGACCGCGTTTCTCCAACAGTCAGGTTAACCACTGAAACTTTAGTAGTGTAAAGAAATAAACCAAGTACAATAATTTGATGATAAATTTTGTCTGTTTAAATAAAAAAAGGACATGCAGATCATCAAATTGGTTCAAGTCATAGATTTAAATTCTTGAAAAAAAATCTATTTCATTTACTTTTATTTACTGCAATTGCACTTTGCCATAATGTCCAACATTATTTTTGCTCATATGATTGTATTGTGTTTTTTCCGGTGTATGGTAATCTTGACGTCAAATTCATTTGGGTATTACCATACAAATGGACATACTGAAAAACAGCCTTTGGGGTTGAAAGTGTGTTTTTACCGTGTCTAAATAAAATCAACAACAACCCTTAATGTAGCTTAATATAAGGTATGCACATTTAGGTTCAAAGAAGGTCAGATAAAATAGTTTTAAAATACAGGTAACACATGGGGTATTTGCACATAAAAATAGCACACACTTACATACATTTGCACACACATACTCTTTTCAACACTAAAATAAGAGTATGTAGAAAATTATTTTAAAACGTTTGTCTAAAGATATATGAAATAATTGAGTGCAGTGTTTAAAGACATGTTTAGCAATGGAGTAGTTATCATGGTAATACCTGAAATCGTGTCATTGGTTGGACTAGCCGTAGTAGTACCTAGAAAAACAAAAGAATATTGCATTATTTGCTTAAACATAGGCATGTGTTTCATTTCACTTTTGCCTGTTAATCAGTATGAATAAAGAAATATACAATCACACATATATGCACACACATACTTTTCTCAACACTATTAATTAAGAGTATGTAGAAAATTATTTTTAAATATTTGTTTAAAGTTTAAGATATGAAATAATGAAGGATAGTTTGGTGATGAGATCAAACACATTTCTCCTAGAGTCAGGTGCACTGCTGAAAATTTAGTCGCGTAAAGAAGAAAACCCATGTACAATAATATGATGAATCTTGTCTGTTAAAATGATTAAAGGAAACCTCACCCCAAAAAATAAATTAAGTTATTCCGAGAGATTTATTGTATTCTTGCCCATTAATCTACATGATACCCCATCAAAGTGTATGTGAGAGGTATATAAAACAAGATATTCTTAGCATAATGTACAGTTTCTAAGGACAACATAGGCATCGCCATTTGCTCGATATCATAGGCCTACTATGCAAAGTCGTTTATCAAGCAAATGTATTCAAATCTATAGACGCTTCCTTCCCACGTGTGTGTGCAGTGATGAAGTATTTCATTCGCTTGCAATTATCTTTTGTGCTATAATTTTCTGAATGCAAATTGCATGGAAATAAGCTGATGTTTGCATATTTGTGGTAATTTATGCAATTAAGGTCATAATATTTAACCGTTTTACCAAAAAATCATATATTCTTCATATTTAAACATTCATTTTTTTTACTCCACACCCGGACCCCGTTTCATTAAAATTGTTATCAATTACAATAACTGTTATAAGCTACTGAAATCAACGCATTTGATTGGCAAAGAGCAAATTTGTCGTAGAAATTGAGCTTTTCTTATTGTTAATATTAAGGTTCATAAAGGAGGGCCCAGATGAAAGCTTTTAGTTTTGATAATTTTAGATAGTCATATACAAAGGTTTTGCTATAGTCCGTTTTTTATTTGTATATTTCTAGCTGAACTGAAATGGATGATGCCATTTCAAATTCACAAGATTGAACATGTCAACTGAGCAAAAGAGTGATGCAACATTCAATTTACATAATAGTACTGTGATTTTAAACAATTTCAATCTTACCTGTGCAGTTCAATTCATCCTCTCTGTTATCGCAATCATCGATACCATCGCAAACCCAGCTTGGATCATACACACATTCATGGTCAGATGCACACTCGAAGCAGGACGAGTTTGCTGGGGGGGTTGCTGGAATAAAGTGCACTTATACAGTTAATGCCAGTTGAACTAAAAGTCACTAGTGCATATGCATGCAAAAATATAAAGTACATAAATGTCGCAATGATTTACAATTGTTTGGTAGTCAATATATAAAAACCCAGACTTTTAAAATTTTGCTGCACTCTACGATGCAAACTTGAAAAAAGGACCTTGTGACCTGGAAAGGATGATGCCATTTCAAATTCACAAGATTGAACAAGTCAACTGAAGAAAATGTGTATGCTTACGGCAATACTCCTCATCAGAAAAGTCACCACGATCATTGAAACCGTCACAAGTTTGACAATTCAGAATGCAATTCTTGTTAGTACTTGTGAAAGAGTCATTGCTACACCCTGGTCAACATGAAACTATAGAAATTCATGATCATATCATTTACTGACAAGTGCTTTATCATTGCCAAAATTTAATCAACCTAAATGCACAAGTAATATAATTTGGGGTTGGAACCAACTGGCTCAAGAAATTTTGGTTGACCAGCTTCCTCTACCAGTAGATTAATCCCCCACTCCCCCCCCCCCCCCCATTACAAATGGACTTGCCCTAAATCAAAGGTATTCAATGATCTTCAGGACATGAACAGATGTCAGCACACAAATTGCATAAGCTGTTGCCCAAACCCTGAGTATGAAATTACGTTTTACAAAAGGAAAACCTAAATTTCAAGTTAAGATGAATCCCTTGTTGGTTTAAATTTGAGAAGGATACATGATAAAGAGTCTTACAGGTCTAACTAAGCAGAAAATAACCATTCATAGGTAGATCTGTCATACATTTTGGTCGTCTCTAAGAAATCATTCACATGGTACACAATAGCACATTCCACTACATTACAGCATTCTACATAAATGGAAAATCACTTATACCGGGTAGGTGAAATAGTCAACATTTTAACATGATTAAGATCGTAGTAGATTATTTTTCGATTTGAATAATATTAAGGGATTGGGTAACTTTGTCTCAGATTCTGAAACAAAATCCTGGATTTAGCTCATGGTGCAATGATAATTATATATAGGTCAGTCAGGAACCCCATGACTTTTACAAGTCGATCGCCTGTCTCATTATCAAGATATTTATGATTGGAAATCGGAATCAAATTTTGTGTTTGCCTAACGGTGTTCATATGTTTGTATTGTATTTTTCAGGTGTATGGTCATTTTGTCGTCAAATTCATTTGTGTAATACCATAAAAACGAACATACCGAAAAACAGCTTTTGGGGCTGAAAGTGTGTTTTTCCTGTGTCTAAATGAAATCAACAACAACCCTTAATGTAGAGTATAATTATGCACATTTAGGCTTAAAGAAGGTACAATGTACATCACAGCAAGCTCAGATAAAATGGTTTTAAAATACAGGTGACTGCACACACATACTCTCCTAAACACTAAATTAAGAGTATGTAGAAAATTATTTAAAAACAGTTGCCTAAAGTTTAAGATATGAAATCGTTGAGTGCAGTGTTTTAAGACGTGTTTACCAATGGAGTAGTTATCATGGTAATACCTGAAATCATGTCATTGGTTAGACTGGCCGTAGTAGTACCTAGGAAAACAAAAGAATATTGCATTATTTGTTAAAACATAGGAATGTGTTTCATTTCACTTGTGACTGGTAATCAGTATGAATAAAGAAATTGAATGAAAGAAAATCCCATTTTTTTAGTAGTTTCTTGATACATTTCATTCTACAAGATCTAAATGCTCATCACATTTGAATGGTCCGATCGATGATCCATTTTCGCAATTTTCTTTTAGAAACTCATTTATTGGTAAATGGCTATGCTCACTCATGCATGAATGGTACAATTCCAAGTGCATATCATCTAAACAAGGATTACTATATATATTTATTTAGATATATAAATATAACTATACTTCCGATACTTATTAGAAAATCTTAATTAGAAATAGTGTCCACTTTCTTGTTATGCTGAGTGTAGTTTAAAATTGGAATTTCAATATATTTGTGCATGCGCTATCAGCAGTATCTTGTCTGTGCTCTCAGCTGTGCTGTGCTCCGACAGCTGCTGTACAGACGATTGATCCAGGATTATTTTCGTCAAGAACATAAGGTTAGGATTAGGGTTGAAATCATGTTTTAGTTTAGCTTCATGGCTAGGATTTTCGACAGCCGGTACTGTGTTTTATCAACCTGCAAGGACCTTATCTCCAAGACTTTGGCTGATGGGAACAAGTACGTCAGAGAGAATACCAAATATTTTTGTTAAATTTTTTTTGGTTAAAATTGTATTTTTTGTTAAAATTTGTATCCTGACATTTGATTAGTCCTAAATTAAAAAAAAAAAACAGAATCGCTTTCAAGTCTACAAGATGTGTATTGCCAATCTCCAGTATCTGCTGTTAATGGCATAAATACTCTTGTGTTTAGTGGGTCCCCAATGCAATGCCCATGAATACATTGTACCCATGCAGACCTTTAATGTCACTTAGGGATTTGTCTCATTTTCTAGTGAAATTTAAAGCATGTTCACATATGCACTGTGCGCATTCAATATTTGTTTAGCTACACTGTCCAGCAGTCAGTTTCAAATTTTATGCCTGCAGTTTTGGCCAATCAGAGGCCTTGGATATTCATATGCAGTATATAAAAGAAAATATCAAGGGTAGTGATACTTTTTAGTTTTAATCAAGAATTCCATGAATCATAGTATTGCTAGAGTGCCTATATATGTCTACGCATACATATACGTGCAACTGATTCTTATGAAATAAAAAAACTAATGAACAGAAATTTGTTTGAGTCTCTGTTATCATAAATAGATATAGACTCGGAGATATATGTGAAAAACAAGTAAAACATATCTGTAAAATTTTAGCAATTCTATTCACCAGCCTCGATATGGTAAATTTCCACTCAAGAATCATATCCCAAAGCGACATGTAAATTGAATGAGTGTGCAGACGTGGGAACATAAAGAATGTAATGAATACATCTAGAATCACATTAAGCATCAAAGGAATTTTAATAAAAAATTGGCAAATTTTAAGTCAAATATTAGGTGCCCAATCATTACGTATGCGACACAAGAGGAAATACCAGGGACTAGCCTATATACCAATTCCCACCACACTGCACCAGCCTGCAATCTAATTAATAACTTGAATTTAAAGAGATAATAAAGGAGTTGGAGAAAGTGGAAAGACGTTTATATTTGTTTGCATTATATGGTTTTAAATGTATTAATTGATAAAAGTGCTGAAACTACAACAATACCTAATGTTGGTGGAACACTGCCTGCGTAATCTGCAATAAAAAAAGAAATTATTTATTGTTCAAATGAGATAATAGACAGATCACTTGAAATCATTTATGTAAAAATTTGGAATTTCATATATCCTTGGTTTTCTCTTCGCTCTGCATTACACGTTTTGTGAAGTTATATATTGTTAATAATAAGGAAGAATCTATTCTGCACTAAAAACAAAAAAATTTAAGTCAAAGAGGGGGCACAAAACTTATCCTCTACATAAATTCTCCTAAACATGTCTCGAATTTAGATTTACCAATTGTAAAAATTGTGTCTCCATGATTAATTTTCATATAACAATTGGGTTTCTATACATATATTGTTGCTTAATTAAACCAATGTTGCTTCATTGGTGTTTTTTTTAAATAGCATGATTAGAGCTTTCTCTTTACAGAATATATTTCTGAGATGCATTCATTAAAAAAAAAATGCTTGTGTTGTCAT